GGAGGAGGAGGAGGAGGAGGAGGGGAATGCGTCGAGACCTCTGGGGGTCGACGTTGTGAAAAAAGCACGACGTCGGGGGTCTGGAGAGGGGCGGGCAGGCCAGAGAGCGAGCCGTCCGGCGAGGGGCACCGTCCCAGGCGGCCGAGGTCGCGCCCCTGCGAGCTCGGCCTCCCGCCTTCCAGCCCCGAGGAGGGGGGGGGAGATCCGCGGCGAGAAGCGTGTCCCGACTCCTGTCCGGGAGACCGCAGTGTCGGGCCGGGCGAGAGGGGGGGATAGCAAAAGGGGGGGTTTGAGAATCAGCTCACGTAGTTTCCCGGCGCCTCCCGGCGCCGGGAGGCGCTCATGTATCGAGGAATGCGCCCGGCGGCGGGGCCAGAACCAGCTGCATGCAGCAGAATTCGACCCCCCCCCTTCCCTATCCCACCCCTTCACTCGGCCAGATCTTCGTGCTGGGCGACCAGGAACCCTGGACGAGGGCTGCTTGGGGCTGCTGGGGTCAGGAGCGAAAGGACGCACACGTACACTGAATCCACTTCGGCGTCAGTGCCCAAGGTGCGCACTGCGCGAACGCTCGTCCTCCTCCCGGACCCGAGGAGAGGGAGGAGGAGGAGGAGGAGGAGGAGGAGGAGGAGGAGGAGGAGGAGGAGGAGGAGGAGGAGGAGGAGGCAGGAGGAGGAGGAGGAGGAGGGAGGGGGAGGAGGAGGCGGAGGAGGAGGAGGAGGGAGGAGGAGGAGGGAGGAGGAGTGAGAGGAGGAGGCAGGAGGAGGAGGAGGAGGGAGGAGGAGGGGGAGGAGGAGGGCTGTGTCTCGCGGACCGGGGGCCGTGTCCCTGCGCGTGGCCGCGCGCGTGCGTCCTCTGTGCGCTCCCTGGGGGCAGGGGGCCGGAGAGCGAGCAGTCCGGCGAGGGGGCGAGGGCCGATGCGGACGCGAAGAATTCATACCGCCACCCCAGACCCCCTCGAGTAATGAAAAAATCATGACGGAGGGTTTTTCGCCTTTTTTGGCCTCTGGGGGCCGTCACCGGGCCTCGGGAGCGTCAAAAAACGACTCAGGAGGACAAACCGGTCCTGGGGAAGGGGTCGAGAACTCTGGGGTCGACGTAATGAAAAATTCATTACGTCGGGGGTCTGGGTCCATGCCCTCTCCATCCTCCGCGGAGGGACGACGTCGTCGTCGTCGCCTCCATTCCCCCTCTCTCATCTGCCCCTCGCTGCCTCTCTTCTGTCCTGGAGGGGGGGGGGGATGGAGATTCGAGTAGGAGATCGACTACAGAATTGAGTCACCACATCTTTGACTTGTTCGTCGAACATACGACAATACGTGGTGCTCTACGACCATTATACGTATGTCTGGTAGAATGGACGGAAAAACATCTGGGGGTAAATCATTTCTGTTGTCGATCTCCTACTCGAGAGATCGTGGTGGTGGTGGTGGTGGTGGTGGTGGTGATGGTGGTGGTGGTGGTAGTGTAATTTTGTGCGGGCGAAGAACGGTACGCAAATCCCCTCGGGTCATGGAAAAAGCACGGCGGGAAATCTTCTGGCCATTCTGGGCCTCCCGGGACACCGAGGCCAGGCCGCATGACCGTGAGAAAAACGACTCTGGATGAAAAGCCGGTCAGGGGGAACGGGTCAAAACCTCTCGGGGTCGACGTTGTGAAAAAGCCATGACGTCGGGGATCTGGGTTGATATTCAAAGGACGCTCAGAGGAAGCAGCGCTGGGACACGAAGCCACGAGAAATCCAGGGGCACGCTGCCTCGGTCGAGCCCGGACCTCGCGGACTGCCCCCCCGGAGCTCGAGCGGATGCCCGAGGACGTCGGCGAGTGGGAGATTTCCGGGGGGCACCCGCTGGCAGGCCAGCGTCTTATCTGGTGTGCCTGCTGTATGGCCCCCGTCTGCGAGGACGCCCGTCCGAGAACAGCTGGCCCGCTGGCAGAAACAGAGACGGCGTGGATCGCTTCACCCTGAGCGATCGTCGGACTTCCGATCTCCAGACTACTCTTATGTCGGGCGTGTCCCCCTGCAGGGGGATTTTCGACGAGAAATAAAACGTGCCCCCAAAATGCCCCCAAAAGGTCAACGAATACTCGAAAAAACAGTCCCCAGACTATGTTTGGACTATTGTTTTACTATTGTTGGGGTATGTTTTATTTTTCGTCGACAATCCCCCCGTAGGGGGACGGGCCCGACTTAAGACTGCTCCTGGAGGCGGCCCAGGCCGCCCCCATACGGCAGGTTCGTGTCGTGCCGACCCCAGCGTTGGTTTTTGACACCGCAGGGATCGTTCGACCTTGAACGATCGGCCGCTGCCGCAACGTCCGATCGTTCAACATCGATCGATTCTGGGTCGCCCGCGGCGTTCAAGGTTGAACGCCGCTGGCGGCGTCGCCGCGTAGACACGACACTACCTACCGTACTCGGGAGCGGCAAAGAGGGGGTGTCAATGAGGGGGGGTGCATAATCATGCCGGCGGCATAAGTGCGCGGCCCAGCGGGGGGGGGCCGGGGACGTAATGAAACAAGAAGGGGCGCCATGAAATCTGAGGAAATATCATGGCCCCCGCCATGATATCCACCCCCCCCCCTAGTCCCAGACCCCCGACGTAATGATTTTTTCATTACGTCGACCCCAAAGTTCTCGACCCCCAGGACCGGTTTGTGATCCTGAGTCGTTTTTTGACGCTCCCGAGGCCCCGGTGAGGGCCCCCCGAGGCCGAAAATGGGGAAAAACCTCCCGTCGTGATTTTTTCATTGCTCGAGGGGGTCTGGGATCCCCCCCCCCCCTAGTCATCACCCCCCTCTTTTCCGCCCCCGACGTACCCACCACATCACGTCTTGCAGTGCCGAAGCTCCTCTCCACCACGGTCATCGCCCTGCCGGCGGCGGCGTGCCAGGGCCCTCGGCGGCCCTCGGCGGCCCTCGGTGGCCCTCGGAGGCCCTCGCCGGCCCAGGCAGCGGCGCGGAAGGCGTCGGCAACGTCGTCGTCGTCGTCGGTCGTCGTCGTCGTCGTCGTCGTCGTCGTCGTCGTCGTCGTCGTCGTCGTCGCCCCCGACGTACCCACCACATCACATCTTGCAGTGTCGAAGCTCCTCTCCGGAGCCAGTGGCCCGACGACCGCCGCCAGCTGCACGGGCCCCAAGAGGCCCCCCTGGCACCTTGCAGACAATCCAGCCGCCGAGGGCCTGGACAAAACATTCCCAGATCTCCTCGCGCTGCGAAAAAATCACGACGGGCGTTTTTTCCCATATTTTCGGCCTACGGGGGCCATTCCCAGGCCTCGGAGCCGTCAAAAAACGACCCGGGAGGAAAAACCCGTCCCTGGGAAGGGGTCCAGACCTCTGGGGGTCGACGTTGTGAAAAAATCACGACGTCGGGGGTCTGGGTTATTACAAAACCAACGAGGCGTTGAAAACGCACCCAGAACTCTTGTACAACAAAAACCTGCCGCGCACGAGAGCACCTGGGAAATTGCGCCATCGCACACGCGCAGCGGCGCAGTTCTATAAACGCGAGAACGCGCTCATAAAACACGCAACGCGCAACGGCGCAATTCTGTAAACGCGAGAGCGCGCTCATAGAACACGCCACAGCTGCTCCGGACCACCAGGGCGGCGTTCAGACCCGAACGCCCGCGGCGAGGCCGCCGCCGCGCCGACACCGGCGCGCGCCTGCCGTGCACATATGCCGTGATTTTCGCTCTTCTCGGCCGCCGAGCAGCGGGAGGGGGCCGCGGAGCCCCCGGGGGGAGCGCGGGGGTTGGGCTTGGCTTCACGGGGGGGTCACACATTGGGGGGGTCAGAAAAGGTCCCCTTTCGTGCCCCTTTCGGGCCCCTCCAGAGCCCCAGGGGGCTCGTTTAGGTACCGTTCGGGTACCTTTTCGAACCACCCTCGCCACCCCCCCCATTTATGACCCCCCCATTACGCGGCGCCCAACCCAGACCCCCGACGTAATGATTTTTTCGTTACGTCGACCCCAGAGTTCTCGACCCCTTCCCCAGGACCGGTTTGTCCTCCTGAGTCGTTCTTTGACGCTCCCGAGGCCCGGTGAGGGCCCCCAGAGGCCGAAAATTGCGAAAAACCCTAAACTCGAGGGGGTCTGGGAAGGGGGAGTGCGGCCATGGGCGCCGGGGCGCTCACGCGGAGGGCGCCTCCTGGGCAGCACCGCCTGGCCGGTCCCCAGACCTCCGACGGTGCGGAAGAGCACGCTGCGCAAGTGTAAGCTTCTGGAGCTCCGCGCTGGTTTTCCAGGAGCGCGCCAGGGGCGGCGCCCGAGGCGCCGCCAAGGGGGGTCCAGCGCCGACCCACAGAATCCGCTCGGAGCTCCGGAGCTGTATGTTTATGCAGCTGTCCCTTCTTGGATGATCTTGTCAGTCCCGGCCTCCTGGGTCTATCATCGGGCCCTGGGACCTTTAAAGCAAATCTGGGACGAAGAACTACCCCCGGGGAAGAGGTCGGGATCGCTGGGGCTGCGCAGTGGAAAGATCATATTGTCTGGGCCTGTCCCCACTGGGGGGCTGGGCTGCTGGGGCCGAGATACCATCGTCAGTGGGGACGGGGATCGGTCAGACGATGCTGAGCTCCATCTGCGACTTCAGCACCTCCATCTTGTGGGCCAGCATCTGGTTCAGCATGTCGGAGGCCTCCTTCGCGCGGCTGATCGCGCGCTTCAGCTTGTGCGTCTCCCCGCCAGTTCGCCCGAACTCCGCCTCGACCTGGTCGAGCTCCTCCAGCGCCTCCTGCAGGACCCGGAACTGCTGCGCCGTCGACCGCGCGAAGGCCTTCTTGGTCCTCGCCAGGAGCCTCCTGTTGGCCTCGACGGGGTCTCCCTGTGCCTGTCCACGAGCGGCGAACATACCCGCACAGTCGGACTCGATCCGAGAGGACGCGCGAGAGGACAAAGAGACCCTTCCGAGGGCCACACTGCCATGGGAGTGCAGGAGGCACGGGTCGCGAGGCACGGGACACAGAGGTACCCTTGATTTGGCAGGGTCGACCTACTTATCTCGGGGGAAAATAAACCTCCCTCGCTCTTGACCGCCCTCGCTTCCAAGAGATACCAAACGGTGCCAAATTGCGGCCTGTACTGGTCAGGCCGCTTGACGAGGAGGCGCGTGGCATGGCTTGGTTTTGCCTGGAAGCGAAAGCGGGGGAGGTAATTCACGCTCTGATTATCCGGGCCGACTGTGTCCGCGCCCGCGCGGCCGGGGCTTCGGGGCGGCATCCCGCGGGACACGCGGGTCGCACGGACGCGCCGCACGCGGGGCGTCCGCGAAAACTCCGCCGGGCCGCGGCCCCTCCGAGGCCCGGCCCGCGGGGCCCGCGGGGCCGCGGGGCGCGCTTTGCCGCCCGCGGCCTGCACGAGGGCGGTCTCCTTCGCCTTCTCCTCGTCGAGCTCCTCGATCTGCTCCTGGAGCTCCTGGCCCGCGGGCTCACGGGCCGCGCGTGGCTCGGCGGCGGACGAAGGAGGAGGAGGAGGAGGAGGAGGAGGAGGAGGAGGAGGAGGAGGAGGGGGAGGAGGAGGAGGGGGAGGAGGAGGCCCTCTCGGAGGGCCGCGGGGCTCCTCCAGAGGCCCTCGGGGGCCTTCCGAGAAATTTTTGGTGTGTGCGTCTTCGGGGAAGGCCCGGGGAACTTCTGGGAAGGCCGGAGGGCTGCCGAGCCCTCCGAGGAGCCCACGACGGCGCTCGCCGCCGGCTGGCGCGCAGCGACAGGGGGGGGGGGGCGGGTCGCACGTCCGGGGCCGCGCCTCGCTCTGCCCCTGTCAGGATTCCGGCCACGACTCACAAGATCGAAGGCGCCCAGGGACAGTACACATAAGTAGGCACAAACACCATGATTCCCTGTAGCTTCCACATTTTATGGGTGTTCGTTTTGCCCCCGACCTCCAACATGTTCCATGTTTTCCTGGCGATCGACGACTCTTTGTGTCTGTGTATTTCCCTCCTGAGATATGCTCTACGGTTGGGAAGCTTTGCCTAGCGTGTCGCGGCGGCGGCCCTGGCAACACGCTGTGCCTTGGGAGCTGATAGAGTGTCGCTTCGCTCCGCGGGGCAGGAGGCTGGGAGAGGCTCAGGACGTTGACGCCTGGGACTGGGATGCGGATAGCGTGTCGCGCCGCAGCGTGGTGGGCAAGAAGCGGCGGAGCGACACGCTAAGCCACCAAAGTTCTTGACCGTGATTCCTGAGCGCGTCTCTGGGACGAGTCGACGGCAACATGCGAAACCGAACACGTGTGCACGCATGCATTTCAAACAAGCGGCCTTCGCAAAGGGGTCCGCGCAGGTGGGGTCGGAGGGCAGCGCCCCATCATCGATGCGTCGCCGATGAATCGGCGACGTCAGCAACGTCTGCGTGGAGAAATCAGGGCCCCATGTCGAGCCGCATCGGCAATGCGTCGGCGATGCGGCGCGATCCTTCGACCCCATTTACAATCGAACCTAGGCCAGAAAAAAACATCTTTCAAGAACATGAGGCCCTCCGATGGCCAGAACACCCCAAACCCAAGGATCAGTCGAGGGTACCCTCCCCAGGATGCACAAAAATATCCAACAAACACGAAGAACACTACAGTGCGGGCGCGGCCGCAAGAAGCCCTCGCAAGAAACCCAACCCTGAGAACCCGTGCGCGAGATGCACCTAAAAACCTGGAGCACCCCGAACGCAGCAGATCCTTCAACGGCTGCGGGAAGTCACCGCGCAGCGCGGGGAGCGAAGAAACCCAGGGTACCCTGACGAAAAGCAGATGGTTTCTTGATGCGCGCCCCCACTGTAGGGCACGCTGCTCGAACCGACCTCGATCTCACACTTCGGTCCGAATGCACTCGGACCTCGTCTTCGGAGGAGGAGGAGGAGGAGGAGGAGCAGAGCCCAACGGCGCAAAGCTCCCCGACCGGCTCCCCGAACGGCGCTGCGGAGCCTGACGCTTTCTCCTGCCAGGTCGATCCGACCCCCTCCCTCCAGCCAGCAGAGCTGCGAGTGGTGCGGGGGAGGAGGAGGAAGGAGGAGGAGGAGGAGAGGAGAGGAGAGGAGGAGGGAGGAGGAGGAGGAGGGGAGGAGGAGGAGGAGGAGGAGGAGAGGAGGAGGGGAGGATGAGGAGAGGAGGAGGAGGAGGAGGAGGGAGGAGGAGGAGGAGGAGGGGGAGAGGAGGAGGAGGAGGAGGAGGAGGAGGAGGAGGAGCAGAGCCCACACGTCGCCGGGGGCAGGTCGAGCGACGCAGGACCGGACCCCCACGGGCCCGGCGGCCCGCGGGGCACCCCGCCGCGCGGGAGCGCCTGGGCCAAAAGGGGTGGCAGGTGGTCCACGGTCGAGCACACTTCGGTCCGAATGCACTCGGACCTCGTCTTCGGAGGAGGAGGGGGAGGCTGGAGCCGGCGATACGTCGCCCATGGATCGGCGATGGAGCCCCCGACAGCGAGACCGCACGTTCCTCTGGGAAAAGGGCATGGATGGGCTATCGGGCCCCACTCGGCGAGGAGTGGGTGCTTGGGCATCGACGCGTCCACCCCTGAGCCTGATATCGCCCCTGACGCTCCCAGGAGGAGGAGGGTGCTGTCAACACCAGGATCTCCTGGGGAGGCCCAGAGGGCCTCCGGGGGGCCCCGGGGGGCCCCCCTCGCGAGAGCCCCCTGCGGCTCCCAAAGGCGAGGACCACGCATCTCCGAGCGACACCCGCCATCTGGCGTGGAAGACCAATTGGGCGACGATCAATGAAGGGGCCCTGGGACACACAAATAAATACACACAAATAAAAAGATTCCCCGTATTTTCCCATATTTTCTGGGTTTCTGTCTTCCCCCCCACTGCCCATATTTTCCCATATTTTCTGGGAATCGACGATTAATTGTGTCTGTGTGTTTCTTTCCCTCCTGAATCAAGACGGGTCAACGCCAGATGGCATGGCGACCACACGCGGTGGCGTACGCGGGCCGCCGGCACGGCGCTTTGCACTGGAAATCGAGGGCGCTCACGCGGGGAGCTTACGCGAGGAGCTTACGCGCGAATGTCGGCGCAGACGACATTCGCGCTCTGGTGGGGAAGGAGGAGGAGGAGGCGGAGGAGGAGGCGGAGGAGGAGGAGGCGGAGGAGGAGGAGGGGACCGTTCGTCGCGCAGTTGGCTGGACCAGCACAAGCTTTCGGAGCTCCGCGCGGATTTCTTGGATCGGCGCTGGGCACCCCTCCCTGGCGGCGCCTCCAGCGCCGCCCCTGGCGCGCTCCGCGCGTCAGGGAAGGGGGCCCCCAGAGATGCGCGCGGAGCTCCGACAGTTTCTGTTCATCCAGTTGCCGTCGTCCCCGTCGTCCTTGCCGTCGTCGTCGTGGTCGTCGTGGTCGTCGTCGTCGTCGTCGTCGTCGTCGTCGTTGCCGTTGCCGTCGTCGCCGTCGTCGCCGCCGCATCCGCCGCCGTCGTCGTCGTCGTCGTCGTCGTCGTCGTCGTCGTCGTCGCCGTCGTGGTCATCGTCGTCTGCTTTTCGGGCCATTGCTCGGCTCTCTGGCGGCCGTTCTGGACGACAGCCTATGTTTACACAGCTCCTTTGAAAGGGCCCTAGGACACACAAATATATATATATATATATATATATACGTATAGCACCCCGCAATTGCGGATAAGAGTGAGGGGGCGGGCGCGGGCGACGCGGGCGTCGTCAAGCCGGCGGACCTCGTGGCCCCCACCTTCCTTGTCGATGGCGCTCTCCTCCTCCTCCTCCTCCTCCTCCTTCTCCTCCTCCTCCTCCTCCTCCTCCTCCTCTTCCTCCTCCTCCTCCTCCTCCGCCTCCTACTCCTCCTCCTCCTCTTCCTCGTCCTCGTCCTCGTTCTCATCGTCATCGTCGTCCTCCTCCTCCACATCGTCCTCCTCCTCCTCCTCCTCCTCCGCTTCTTCCTCGTCCTCCCTCTCCCCCCCTCGTCCTTCCATCATCGTCCTCCCATTGTCGTCATGTTCCTCCTCGTCGTCCTCCTCCTCTTCCCCCCCTCCCGATCCTCCACCCTCCTCCTTTTCGTCGTCGTCGTCGACGTCATCGTCGTCGTCCCCTCCCTCCTCCTCCTCCTCCTGCTGCTCCTCCTCATTCTCCTGCTGCTCCTCCTCCTCCTCCTCCTCCTCCTCCTCCCCCTCCTCGTCCTCCTGCAAAAGCAGCCCGCCGCAGGCGCCGAAAAAATTGGTTTGTACACTGAACGTGGTTTGGGTCGCGGGTGGGCCGCGGGTTCTCCACCGGGAACGAATGCAAAAGATGCTCGCCGCAGGCGCCGAACAAAATTGGTTTGTACCCTGAACGTGGTCGCGGGTGGGCCGCGGTCTCTCCACCTAGAACGATTCAAAAGATGCCCGCCGCAGGCGCCGAAAAATGTGGTTTGTACCCTGAACGTGGTTTGGGTCGCGGGTTGGTCGCGAGTTGATCGCGGGGTGGGTCGCGGGCTCTCCACCTGGAAGGAATGCAAAAAAAGCCCGCCGCAGGCGCCGAAAATGTTGGTTTGTACCTTGAACGTGGTTTGGGTCGAAGGTGGGTCGCGGGTGGGTCGCGGGGTGAGTCGCGGGTGGGTCGCGGGCGGGTCGCGGGTGGGTCGCGGGCGGGTCGCGGGGTGGGTCGCGGGGTGGGCCGCGGGCGGGTCGCGGGGTGGGTCGCGGGTGGGTCGCGGGTGGGTCGCGGGGTGGGCCGCGGGGTGGGTCGCGGGGTGGGTCGCGGGTGGGTCGCGGGTGGGTCGCAGGGTGGGTCGCAGGGTGGGTCGCGGGGTGGGTCGCGGGGTGGGTCGCGGGGTGGGTCGCGGGTGGGTCGCGGGTGGGTCGCGGGTGGGTCGCGGGTGGGTCGCGGGGTGGGTCGCGGGTGGGTCGCGGGGCGGGTCGCGGGTGGGACGACGACAACAAACAACAACAACAAACAACAACAACAACAACAACAACAACAACAACAACAACAACAACAACAACAACAACAACAACAAGAACAACACGAATCCGCACCGCGGAATCTCACTTCAGCCACGCACCCAGGGACAATGAATGACCGTTCGGCCCCCTCACTCTGAAATACACAGAAATAAAAAGATTCCCCATATTTTCCCATAATTTCTGTGTTTCTGTCTTCCCCCCACTTCCTATGTTTTCCAATATTTTCTGGGGGATCGAGGATTCATTGTGTATTTGTGTTTCTTGTCCTCCTGCTCCTTGTCCTCCCACAGACGGGCTCCGAGACGCTGGGGCCGAGGGACCGCGCCGCACCGCCGGAGCACCGGCGATGCGGCTCGATGTGGGGATCGATGCATATGCCGTTGACGTTATCTGCTTCGAACCTCCGTTCGAAAAAAATACAAACACACACACACACAAAAAACACACACACACAAAAAAACAACACACTGTGGGGAACAACCACACACACCAAAAAACACACACGGTGTTTTTTTTGTTTTTGTGTGTGTGTGTGTTTTGTTTTGTGTGTGTGTGTGTGTTTGTGTTTCTGTGTTTTTGTGTGTTTGTGTGTGTGTGTTTTTGTGTGTGTGTGTTTGTGTGTTTGTGGTCTTGTGTTTTAGTGTTTGTGTGTTTGTGTGTTTTTGTGTTTGTGTGTGTGTGTGTGTGCGTGCGTGCGTGCGTGCGTGCGTGCGTGCGTGCGTGCGTGCGTGCGTGCGTGTGTGTGTGTTGTGTTTTTCCCACAGACTCGAGGTCTTCGGGCGTTTTCGTCGGTTCCCAGCGGTCTTCCAAACTCGGGGTGCGGTCTCCAGCAGCCCCGCCTCGCCAGGAGCGTTCGGGGGGTGCCCGGATCGTCTGGAACGGCCGCTGGAGAGCCGAGCGATGAACCGACCGCCAGACCATTCGGCGTCGCGAAAAATCGAGACGGAGGTTTTTGACATCGTTTTGAGGCCCCTAACCCCAGGAAGCATTTAAGAACCCCCCCGGCGATATCGTAGCACCGCATTTTTTATTCGATATTCCGAGGGGCCGAAATAACCGAAGGGGGGGGGTTCTTAAATGCTTCCTGGGGTTAACCGGACCTCGAGACCGTCGAAAGACGACTCAGGATGAAGCACCGGTCCTGTGGAAGTGGTCTCTAGAGGTCGGGGGCCCGTGTCTGAAAAATCGAGGATGTCTGGTGTATGATTGAAATCGCGGAGCTTACCATCGCTCGAACGGCCATTTCGGCGTTGCGCCCAGGGGGAAAGTGAAGGGGGGGGAGGCCTTCTCGGAGGGCGGCGGGGCTTCTCTGGAGCCCTCGCGCCTTCTGAAAGGTGTCCTAGGTCATCTCCCGTGGCAGAGACTGCTTCTGAGAAGACCGGGGGGGGCTTCTGAGAAGCTAGAGGCCTCCTAGATGGGGTCGGAGTAGATGGGGTCGAAGGATCGCGCCGTATCGGCGATACATCGGCGATTCATCGGCGATGCATCGGCGATGCATCGGCGATGCACTGGCGATGCATCGTCGACGTCGGCGATGCATTGGCGACTTCGACCTGAAGCAAATCGGGCCCTACATCGAGCCGCATCGGCGATGCATCGGCGATGCGGCGCGATCCTCCGACCACATCTACTCCGACCCCATCTAGGAGGCCTAGAGAAGCCCCGCCGCCTGCTGAGAAGGCCCGCCCCCTCTCACTTCCCCACCGGGCTCGCCACCGAGCGGAGCCTGCCAACACTCGGGCGTCCGTGTCCCGTGCAGTATGTCGGTTTCGTGCGTTTTTTTTTTTTATTTCCCCCCAAGAGGATCCAAGATGCTCCAAGAGTTCAGTCGGGCCTGTCCCCCTACAGGGGGACTTTGGACGAGAAATAAAAGATACCCCAACAATGCACCAAAAATGCTCAAAAATCCGCCGACCCTGTCGGCGTGTGCGAGGGGCTTGGCTGTTCGAGTCGTCGTCTCCGTCGGTCGTCGCCTCCGTCGTCCCCTTTCCCTGCAGCTTCCTTCTCAAGCTCGTGAGCGAGAGAAAAATCGAGCAGTGTCGTAATCGAGTCGAAGGAGCCCCTTCCCTTTGATCCCTTCCCCAGGGGGGAGGGGGGGGGGTCCCAGGGGAGGTGGAGGGGGGGGTCCCGGGGGGGGTCCCGGGGGGGTGGGGGCGCAGATTCGTTTTTCCTCGGGCGGCCTAGAAACCTCGAAAACACTCCAAATGAGGTCCGAATGCCCCAGATGGCCCCCGAGACGGCCCAAGAGGGCCCCGAGTCGCCCAAAGATCGGCCGAAAACGTCCAAGATAGCCCCAGCACCGTCCAAGAAGCCTCCAAGACGTCCCAGGCCCCCTCCAAGAGACCCCCAGGAAGCCCCAAGAGGCGCCCACGAGGCTTCCAAGCGGCCCCTAAGAGCTTCCCAAGAGGCCCACAAACTACCCCCAAGAGGCCCCCAAGAGCGCTCGTCGTCGTCGTCGTCGTCGTCGCCATTCAGGGTCGGCGGCACCGGCCGTAAGGCCTTCGCAATAGGGTAAAAGAATAGTCCCCAGACTATTTTTGGACTAGCTTTGAATATTCCCCCTGTAGAGGGACAGGCCCGATCAAATCTCGGGTCGGGCGAAAGGGGGGATAGCAAAGGAGGGGTTTGAGAATCAGCTCACGTAGCTGATTTTCCCGGCGCCTCCCGGCGCCGGAGGCGGCTATGTATCGAGGAATGGGCCCCTCGGTGAGGCCGAAACCAGCTGCATGCAGCAAATTTCGTGTAACCCCCCCTGACTCCAGATCCGCCCTACTTTGGCTTTTTCCCAACGTAAACTTGCGTCGGAAATCCACTTGTAAGAAGCCGAAAAAGTAGAGCGGAAATTTCTGCACCCAGCATAAAATAGGGCGGGAATCCACAGAAGCAGGGCGGAAACGGAGAAAAGTACGGCGGAAACTGGCATCAGCGGGGCTTGAGAAGTGAGGCGGAAATTCCAAGCCCTACTTACAAATTTCCCCAAAAAGTAGGGGCCCCGGAAGTCTCGACCCATATGGGTCGAGACTTCCGGGGGCCCCGTATTGAAAGAATCACGACGTCGGATCTCTGGGCTCCCCTATACTGCTGCGGCGCTCGCCGAGGGAGGGCGCAGGGCCCAAGGCGCCCGCGCATCCCACCCTCGACGCCCGCGCCGCCCGGCGGGCGAGCGGCCGATCCTCGTTCCCCTCTGCTGCCGTTCCCGCTCAGCCCTACTTGCGAATTTCCCCAAAATAGGGCGGATCCGGAGTCAGGGCCCCCTTTCGTCCGGCCCAATAATCCACGAGGGTTCGTCCAGCCCGATAATCCAAGGCTTTCGTCCGGGGAGAGGATTCCTCCCTCCTCCTCTTCTTCCTCCTCCTCCTCCTCCCTCCCCTCCTCCTCCTCCTCCTCCTCCCTCCTCCCTCCTCCTCCTTCCTCCTCTCCTCCTCCTCCTCCTCTTCCCTCCTCCTCCTCCTCCTCTCCTCCTCCTCCTCCTCCCTCCCTCCCGCCCTCCCTCCATCCCTCCCTCCCTCCCTCCTCCCTTCCTCCTCCCTTCCTCCTCCTCCTCCTCCTCCTCCTCCTCCTCCTCCTCCTCCTCCTCCTCCTCCTCCTCCTCCTCCTCCTCCTCCAAGAGGGCCCAGATGCTTTGACGCGTCCCGGCGCTGGCCTCGCCGAGCAGAGCGCACGCGCGCCCTCGGGCGCGTGCCACGGGAGCCTCCCTCGCTCTCGGCGCCCCCCGTCGGGCCCGCCTTGCAGGCCCCGGGAAGCGTCGGGCCCTCGCCACCGCTCGGGCGCCCATGCTGAAGGGGCCCCAGGACACACATGAATACACGCAAATAAAAATGTTCCCCATATTTTCCCATATTTTCTGGGTTTTTGTCTTCCCCCCCCCACTTCCCATATTTTCCTATATTTTCTGGGGGATCGACGATGACTTGCGTGTCTGTGTGTTTTTTCCCCTCCTGACATGCCCCGTGCACGTGCCGGCTTCGCGCGCGGCTCTTGTCGCCGCAGGATCGGGGCTGCTCCTGGAGGGCCCTCGCCGAAGGGAGAAAAGGCCCACGCCCGAGCGATGCCAAGGGTCCCGGACGAAAGCTCGGGAGCGGCCAAGAGGGGGGTGTCCAAGAGGGGAGGGGTGCAAATCATGACCGGCGGCACGTGCGCGGCCCAGCGGGGGGGCCAGGGACGTAATGAAATGAGAAGAGGCGCCAGGAAATCTGGAAAAATATCATGGCCCACGCCATGATGTCCACCCCCCCCTAGTCATCCCCCCCCTCTTTGCCGCCCCCGAAAAGCCTGACCCCCCAGGCCAGGATCGGGATAAATCGCTCCAGAGCGTTCCGGAGCGCTCTCAGAGCGTTCCGGAACGCTCTGGAGCGGCCGCGGCGCCCAATACATCCTCCAAACCCGCCGATTCTCAGAGATTTCGAGTTATCCCGATCCGATTTTGTCCCGATCTTCGCGTCGTTTGTCCAAACCCGCCGATTCTCAGAGATTCCGAGTTATCCCGATCCGATTTTGTCCCGATCTTCGCGCCGTTTGAAACACAGTCTGCTGGATCCGAATGCTTCCTCATCGTCGTCGCCCCGCTCCTTTCCCCCTCCTGCCACTGGACATATGCGCCATTCCCCGTTCTCCTGACACACTGATTCCACACACAAACAAACACAACAAATAAAATGATCCCCCACATTTCGCATGTCTTTTGTATTTTGATTTTGTTCTCCCGGGCTCCCCACATATATATATTATTTTCCCCGATCTTCGCGTCGTTTGCGCACTCCGACGGAGCTTCTTAGGAGCATCCGCGCTGCTGCAATCCGGCCATCCAGGCCCGGCACGGGGCCAGCGCCTGGCGGGCCAGGTCCGGAGGAGGGGGGAGGAGGAAGAGGAGGATCTTTTTTTTTTTTTTTTTTTTGGGGGGGGGGAAAGGGGGGGTGGGGGGGGGGGGAGGGGAGGAGGAGGAGGAGGAGGAGGAGGAGGAGGAGGAGGAGGAGGAGGAGGAGGATTTTGTCCCGATCTTCGCGTCGTTTTAGAAAGCCCGACCCCCCGGGGGCGCGGTCGAGGCCTTCGGCCGGCCGCGGCTCGACGGGGCATCGGAGCGGCGGCCGCCCGGGGGAGGCCATGGGGGGCGGCCTGCCCGCCGGGTCCTGCGACTTCTCGTTCGCGTAGTCCACGACGCCCTGCCTCGCAGGGCCGGGGCAACCCCTGCGAGACGTCGTCGTCGTCGTCGTCGCCGTCGTCTTGGTCGTCGTCGTGGTCGTCGTTGCCGTCGTCGCTGTCTTGGTCGTGGTCGTGGTCGTCGTGGTCGTCGTGGTCGTCGTGGTCGTCGTGGTCGTCGTCGTCGTCGTCCTGGGCCACTGGGGCCCTGCAGAGGGCTGGGCATCACGATGTACGAGCGCGTTGTACGTCGTGCATGTCGAGCCCAGTTCAGTGCACGGTGCTAAAAAACTGGGAGAGCATAGTATGATGTCTGTCCGAAACCACGTTCGCACAACTCCTCATGCTCGCACAAACCCCAGGCATGCTCGTCAGAGTGAGGGGACCGAACGAGCCTACACCGTCTCCGCGCGTGTGGCTAAAGTGAGGTTCCGCGGTGAGGATTATTGTTGTCTTGTTGTTGCCTTGCTGTCGTGGTCCTGCCCGCGACCCACCCGCGACCCACCCCGCGAACAACCAGTGACCCACCCGCGACACACCCACGTTGGTTAACGAAAAAACATCGGCGCCTGCGACGGGTTTCTTCTAATTGTCTTTCGAGCCTCGCAGACTGCCGACGAGCCCACTTCCTATCCCCCTCACTCTTACCCGCAACTGCTGGGGCTATGGTGTAGACTTTCTGCCGGCGCAGACTCCAAATGGGTACTGAAGCAAGCGATGGGGGAAGATATGCGCACGCTGGAGCAAAGCGGTTTGGGTGGAGCTCCATGTAGGGCACGCAGCGTGTGACGGATGCGTGGCCACAAAAACCCGCCCACAGCAACGAGGTGCTGGCGGCGTGCCACTAAAGCCAAAACCTCGGACTCGATCGGGAACGCGTGAGAGGCGAAGGGGGGCGCGTGTGACGAGTGCGCCCAAAGGCCCGCCTACAGTATGCCCCGTGCCCTCCTGGACCATAGTGCAACTGGTCTGGTCACAACATGCGCCCATGCCCACTGAGGCCGCAGTAGGGGCTCCCCGCAGGGCATGACGCGCCGACGGTGAGGCGAGGATCAAAGCTCCAGGAGGCCCCGAAAACATCCCCATTGGGACCTCAATAGGCTCTGAGAAGGCCACCAGGACACACCTCCCAAACGCCCGAACGAAGCCCATCGAGAGGCCCCAAGAGATATCCAGGAAGCCATTCGTCCACGACCCGGGCACGGCGGCAGGATGGGCCTGCGCCCACTGACACGCCGCTCCCGCCCACTGCCAGAGAGGTGCTGGCGCGCCGTGCATATGAACTTTTTTTTTTCCAAGGCAAACAAGCAGGGGAGAAGGAGGAATCCGCTGCCCCTCAAGGGGACTTTCCTTACCGCGAACCCGAACGAACCCGACCAGGAGCACTAGAGGCAGAAAAAAGCAGCAATGGCCCCGGACTCGGGTAGAACGTAACACTCGCGAAGAACCTGCACAAGCAGCAGGGTTGTCCTGCGAACGTGGCCGAAATTCTGACCGCAAACTCGTGCAGACAAGGGGGAAGGAGGAGGAGGAGACAGAGGAAAACCACCTGCCAGAACCGGACCAGGAAACTAACGACACCACCTCACCCACGACCCAGCGATGCTGAAAGTTTAGGCACTTGCCCACCTACGACCACCCACGACCCAGCGGTGGAGCGGTGTCGTCTGGCTCTCGGTCGAAAAGCGGCCCCGGCAGGCCCCTCCTCGTCGTTCCCCCAGCGATTCCCCGACCGCTGGGGAACCGCGCCGTCCACAAGCGTGGCCGCGCCTTTGCTCGACGCTTCACGACACTGGCGCTTCCAGAAGGCACGGGGCGGCGGTGACTCGCCGACCGCGTCTTCGATAACCCTCGGACATTTGGTGCACGGCTCCGGGGGGGCCAGAGGGGGCGGGGTGTGGGGGGGTCAAAGCCTGGGCGCGCAAGCAGCTGCTGCCGCATCGCACTCAGCGATCGGGGAGCCCCAGTTAGCCTGCACCAAAGGTCACTACGGCACAAAGGGTCACTCTCACATGCAGTCGAGATCCTCGTCGTCTGGCTTTCGGGTCAAAACTCGAGTCTCAGGCGGCCGTTCGGGACGAGTCGGGCAGCACCACAAAGCACTCGGCAGCTGGTGCAGAGCATCCTGAGACTGGAAAAACCGCGAAGGACCAGCGAAAGCGATCCGAAAACGGCAGGAGCACTTCAGGAAACAAACGATTTCGATACCCCTACTCCCTGGACCTCTCCCAGGGTGGGAGGAGGAGGAGGAGGAGGAGAAGGGGAGGAGGAAAAGGAGGAGGAGGAGGAGGAAAAGGAGGAGGAGGAGGAGGAGGGAGGAGGAGGAGGAGGAGGAGGAGGAGGAGGAGGAGGAGGAGGAGGAGTAATTTCTAAAAAAATTTCCCCCCCCCCCCCCCCCACCAGCCCTCTGGGCGTAGGTGGTCTAGAGCAGATCCTCTTCCACCCCTCCCTCTTCCCCCTTGGGGAGGGGTTACCCCTCCCCCTACCCCCTCCCCTGGACCTGGACGGGGGGGGCCGCGGGTAGTTAGAGCGTCCCAGATGGCCCAAGACGGCTCCAAGAGCGCCTCGGAGAACCCAAGATGAGCTCCAAGATGGCTCAAGATAGCGCAAGATCGCTCGAGATGGCTCCTAAGATGGTTCCAAGAAGCCCAAAGACGGCCCCCAGATAACTCCAAGTGGCCAAACAGCTCCCCAAGGAGGCCCCGAAGAGGCCAAAATCGTCCCAAAACCTAAGGAAAAATCAATGATTTTTGCTTTCTCGCCTTTTCGCTTCCGATGGCCATCCGAGGCCTGGAGATGGCTCCAAGATGGCCCAAGAGGGCCCCAAGAGTGCCCCAAAAGAGCCCCAAGACGGCCCCAAGAGCGCCCAAGAGCACTCCAAGAGCGTTCCAAGAGGGGTCCAAGAGGCGATTTTAGGGGCTTCCGAGGGGGGGCGCTAATTAAACCCCACCTCTTGTTTGATCGATCTCCTCCAAGATGGCCCCAAGAAGCGCCCAGGAAGCCCCAAGAGGTCCCAAGATGGCCCCAAGATGGCCCCAAGAGGCCCCCAAGAGGCCCCCCGGAGGCCCCCAAGAGACCCCCAAGAGGCCCCAAGAGCCCCCCCAGATGCACCCAAGATGCTCCAAGAGGCCTCGGCGAGAATGCCTAATCATTGATTCTACACAGGTTTTAGCCACATGGAGGCCTCTTGGGGGGGGCACGGATTAAGATGACTCCAAAAGCGTCTGGGAGAGCCCAAAATGACCTCCAAGATGGCTCAAGATATCCCAAGATGTCTCATAATGGCTTCCTCTGTGTGCTGCCCACTTCTCTGATCGAGGCAATTCCTCTGGGCATCGTTTCTGGATGGGCTGGTGGGGATTCGCGAAGCGACAACAATTTCTAATTCTACCTGAAGCGTCATCCTCCTCTAGGGAGGTCGCTTAAACACCAACTCACACATCAGGGAAACGGGTGCCCGACTTCGGGGGAAGCCCGCGGGAGATCCTCGACAAAACCTCCTTCCCAGTGGACGAGGGCCGATCACAAGCCCTGCTCAGAATGCGAGGGGGGTTCACTGTGCAAAAACCACCACATACCTCGCAATACAAAACCCCTCGAAACACGGCCAAATGATGCGTGGGCGAACAAAACTCCGACATTGGGTGGTCCAGGGGTGTTCCACACCCCTGAACAGCAGCCAGATCATCAGGCGGCGGATCTTCCACCCCTGAGGCCTGGGCGACGCGAGGAGAAAGACACGGAATCCGCTGCTGCAGTTCACAGCGAGGCTTGCAGGGATCAGGCCAAACATCCGCCAGCTTGCCTTTCAAAGGGAAACCCCGCGCACATCGAGAACACTTGAGAGACGCCAAACGCACCTCAGGAGAGCGACCACTATCGCGCAAGCGACACAACCTCACAGCGCAACTGGTCTGCTGTCCGCGCTGCCGCCTAGGAACCCGTTCCGAAGTCTCACGACCTCCCGAGAAAAGCACCTCACGCTGGACCGCCAACAACCGCGACAACACATCAAACGCAAGTTTGTCGGCCCGACGGGTTCGGTCAACTAAATCCTCGGGGATCTGGGCCCTGTCAGCAGCAGCATCGGCAAAGAAATCAGCAGCCTTGTTCAAATACACTTCTACATCACTCATAAACATATTTTGGCGTTGGGCCTGGGTCGAATGCGATTTCGTCCACAACACTTGGATAGATCCCCCTCTAGCGAACATAACATCATGAAATTGCACCCAAAGATCCAACATCGAAGACCCACGTTTGTCCCATAATGGGCGACGTGACCCTTGAACTACCCGCAAATAATCACAGTACACACGACAATGCCCCGTAGTACGACGTGCCAGCATAATGAGAGCAAACAACTCCGCACGAGGAGAGGACTGCTTCTTGGTAGGGAGGGTGCCCATGAGGAGGGAGTCGAAGAGGCCAGATGAACCTAAGTGGACACACGCCCAGCCACAGCGGCGAAGCCGCCAGTCCTTAGTGAACTTCCCCCCATATCCATCTATTCCCCACACGCCTCCATCGATCACACCTCCTCCGATCAGTCGGCCCCACTCCCACACCTGCGAAACAGGCGGAGGCAAATGGCCACACGTGAGAGCCTTCGGGACCAAGCCTCGAAACCACAAACACGAAAGCTCAGGCTCCGCTAAAACCCGATCGCGCAAACAATCGGTGCGATCCCAGACCGCATCAGGCACAAGCCGATTGCAGGAGCAGTCCCAAAAGCGATGGAAAGGGGTCTCTGCTGAGGCCCCGCAACGTGTACAGGTTCCACCTGAACTCGAGCGGTATCCCGCATCGTAAATTCTGGACTCCGTCCAGTAGCCACCAGCGACAAGATTACGTACCATTCCTGCAGCCTCCGCCTCACCATTCCTTTCCTGATGACGTAACAAACGATACAACACAGTAAAATCAACTCCTCCTTCCACCCCTGTACCCATATAATGACCCGCTGCCGCTTGCCACGAAAGCGACTGGCATGCATCAAACAAAAGGTCCCAAAGATGGGCAGGGAAATCTGCATCAGTCACCCGCAATGTAACTGTACCAACACGCCAGCAGACTGGAGAAACAGGATCCCATCGCAAATCAAGTAGCACCGCAAGCGTAGCCGCAATCGGACCTCGCACGACTTGCCAACGGTACTGAGCGCACTCAAATTTAGCCAACACCTGCTTCCACACACGGGCCACACGCATACGTTGTGTGTGTTCCATCCCACTCCACGCTGACGCAAAGGCATTGAGTTGTTCGTACCGCAACCTAAACTGGGGGTCATCCTTCGCAGGGCTAACCAAACTCATAACGGTAGTCGTACAGGCCCCAGGACTCCACCAACCAGAAAACGTAGCGGCCTGACTCCTCATGCTTTGGACCTGCGACGGCGAAAGACCCAAAACTTCATGGCCCCAGGATCCAACCGCCAACACCGCAGGCTTATAGAGCTTCCTAGCTCTGCCGACTAAACGAGTCAGACACCTCACTTTCGCAGCTTTCTTATACGCAACGGCACGTCGCTGTCTCAACTTACTCACACAACGTCGACGCCCTGCAGTAGTCATGACCCCCAGGTCGCGCACCGCTTCCCCAACACGAATAGGAAGCTGTGCAGCGCGGAAACAACCCTCAAGATGTTTTCGCAAAGCTCGATCTGAACACACGAAAGTACTCTTACTGGAAATAGTAGTGCCAGCTTGCTCAAGCTGATGACACAAATGAACTGCAGCTGGCACGATGCGCGAGACAATCTCACTCCAAGAACCCTGCTGCGTCTGGGTAATGTCATCGACGTACGCCAGAGTGACAACAGGAAAATACTGGGCGTGTGCGAAATCCAACAGATCATACAAGTAGATTTTAACCCAAGGCATAGATTGCACACACCCAGGAAGCACCCCACGACCAGTGGGCATCACGTCGGACACGAAGCCGTTGACCTCCAAAATACGCGGGGCCTCATGCATCAAGATACCTAAATACAGCAAATGAACGGGATAAGACATCTGCAAGGCGAATCCAGCCAGGCGGAGAGGGTCCACCGTATCAAAAAACTTACTGAGGTCCCAATACAGCCCAACCGAAAGCTCCCCAAGATATCTAGCAGTCTCATGGCCGATCTCTCGCAGCAACGCGGCCTGCAACGCCGAAGAGCCCCTAACCGCGGTATCCCAAAAGTTTTCACGCTCCCGAGACCACTCATCAATGTCACGGCCTCGCGCACGACAATAGACCCTATACAACGACGGGCATTTGCAAACAGGGCGCTCCGCATCAGCCGCTTTAGGTAACAGAGCGATGATACCCATCATCACCTGCGTGGGCCACATCATACAAGCTTCGCACTGATTGAGGAGATCCGCGTAGGCCCCAACAGCAGCCCCAGGGAGGGACGCCAAAATCCGCGGAGGCCAACAGTCAATGCCCACAGCAGTGTCAGCCTTGCACATCCGCGCAGCTCTGGACACCGCACAGGGGGTCAACGGCTCGAGATCACCAACAGCCGCCAGAGCCATACGGCGAACCACATCCAAAACTCCCGAGAGGGCCTCACGCTGCTCCCAAGGAGCAGTCCAAAACGCGCTCCAAAAATCCTGCCGATACTGCATCATTTCCTCGGGCAATTGCTTCACCTCCGAGGGAGTAACCAAATACTCGAGGTCAGCCCCCTGCGTTCTGACCAGAATTTCGAAGCGAATCCAATCGTGGCGCCGAGGGCCTCCATTGGAGGCCCCCCCCCCCAGAAAAAACGAGAACGAGGGTATGTCGGCGGTACCAGCACCGTTTCCTCTTCGGGAGCACTCCGAAGAGGGCTCACTTCCTGTCAGTCAGTCAGTCAGTCAGTAAGCCAGGCGCCAGGCAACGGCGCATCGGCAGGGAATCGACAGGAGCACGATTGGCTCACAGATTCCATAAACCAAATTAGCAGGAAATGCAACAGCGCTGCAGCGCTGCAGGAAATGCAACAGCGCTGCAGGCTCACTTCCTGGTACGCCGTGAATTCGTGGATCATCCTCGCGAGTGGGCGACGGCAGGTGGTATGGAACATGACCAGGACCAGCGTCGACAAGATTCCGCGAAGTCTTGGTCATGGTCATCGTGTTTCTTCCCTCGAACCCTGCCGGCTTCGTCACCACCCTCAATTTGCCGCATTGGGCTACGGCATTGAGATCATCGCGCTGTTTGCCAGCGCCGGCACGGCCAACTCGAAGACCGTTGCCGTTGAGAGCTGAACTGACCCCTCCAGTGCAGTTCGCAGTCGCGGGGCAAATTCAACGCTGTCTTCCTCACTCGAAAGCCTCGCATCGTTCGCCGGTATTCCTGAGCATCGTTTGAACGACCCTCCCTGTGCCCACGGGCGTGGCCTGGGCCCCACTGGCCGATTCACCCCTCAAGATGAAAGCATTGGCTGTTCCCTTCGGGCGTCGAGGGGCCTATTCCCAACTGAAGTGGTGGGATGGCGGAGCTGAGATACCGTGGCCCAGCGGGGATGGGGTCAGGTCAGGTGTGCATCGGCGGTCAAAGCTACACTGAGCGTGGAACGCATCGTTCAAAATCATGGTACACTGCCAGCAGGAGGGGGAAGGAAGGGAGAGGGAGGCGGAGGGGGAGGACAACAGG